GCTCACAAAACTGAAGGATCAGGATGCAGGAACCATCTTTTAAAGAGCCACTGAAGTCCCTAAGAGCCTATGGGGGTCGAAATGAGTAGGACATGGCTTAGCGATTAGACAACAACAAGAATATTAACAAGGACTGTGGTGGGAGAGGTACTGTGGGCAAGACGCTCAGCTGTTTGGGGAGTGAAGAGGAGTGACCGGAGAGCTGAGAGATGACACCAGCAAGGAGGATGCAATAGTTGCACCCACAGGCTTCCCCGTAGAGACACGGTGTCTGGACGTGTTAGGGAGGAGCAGGGAGGGAACCAGCTTCTGAGGCTCCTGGGACAGGGCAGGAAGGAGAGCTGCACTCGAGGGGTCGACTGGGGAGGTGGCATCCTCACAAGGCGGCGTGTTTTCATTAAGGCAAGAGGTGAAGAGAAGACCCGGAGAAAAGGCAGAGGATAGAGCTTCATTCCTGAAGGTGAGGGGAAGAGTTAGGGAGAGAGAGGAGAGGTGAGAGGTCAACTCAGGTGATGAGTTCCTGGCTGGAGATGAACTCTGGATGCTTGTAGTCCAAGTGTGTTAATATGCAAACTCTGGGGCTTCACCCCAGACCCACGGAATCAGAATCTCTCTGGGATGAAAGTTATAATATTAGTAGACACCTCCTGTGATGATGATATGCAGTCAGGCTGGGGATCCCCTGCTCGAGATGGTATCTGGTGTCTCTTCCACCTATGAAACCGGTAGAATGATGAAAATTTGGATGAAGGTCCTCAGTTCAGTTGCTCAGTCATGTCCAACTCTTTGCAACCCTATGGACTGCAGCACGCCAGGCTTCCCTGTCCATCACCAACTCCTGGAGCCTGCTCAGACTAATGTCCATCGAGCTGATGCCATCCAACCAGTGAGCTACAGAGAGGGGATGGATTCATGGAGCATTTAAAGGATGACTCAAGGTGAGAAGAAAAGCAGAGTGAGTCTAAGGCAATCTGAAACCTATTTCTAAGACCTGTGTAAAGACTCTTTTTTGATTGCTAAGTTGTAAGTTTGTTTCATACTGACTTAAAGGGAGGAGAATTTATTGGCTTGATCAATAACCTTCCAGGGTTAAAGCCATACACCTGGATTCAGGTGCCCAAGTAATGCCATTTGAGATCTGACCTGCCTCATTTTGGCTTTGCTTTCCACCCTGTTGACTCCCATCCAGGCTCTACCAGTGCGGTAGCTGAGTTGGTTGCCATCAGCTTCAGGCCTGTAAAACTCCTGGACAGCAAATGTCTACTCCAGACTTCTTTTATAAAGTGTAAAGAAGAATATAGTTAAGCATCAGTCAGAGCAGTGGGAGTACAATTCCCATCTCCCATTCCCCACCAACACCTGGCAACTCAGGGGGTTTAGAAGTCTGAGGTCTGTAGCCTGGATGTCCCTTGACCCTTGCAGGGTCTTCAGGTGACATTTGAGAGGGGTTTGTGTCCCACTGGTAAGATTTGGTGGAAGGCACACCATTTCAGCGCCCTTAAACCTGATTATTCCTTGTGGCCACAGAACACGAATGCTTATTACCTGAAGCCTGCGATTTTTAATGTAACATGAGAGGTAGCGGAGTAGGGGCAGCAAAGGTCTCATTAAATCCCAGCCACTGCTACTTGAACTGCCACCAGGAGAAGCTTTATTTGTCTTTTTTAGTACCTGTCACCAGACACCAAAAAGGACTGCAGGCCCCAGCACCGGCTCTGTCTACCATGCAGGCCCAAATCACTGAAGCCTGCAAAGAAAAGTGGCCTGCTGTGCTGTAGGGAAAGGCAAGCTTTTTTTAATCAAGAAGAAAATAAAGTATTTGTCACATAGTTTGGGCACATGAATAATACAGACAATTACATCATGCATTTCTGTGTACCCTGCTCTCATCTTAAGAAATAAAAACTTAAGTGCCCAGAAGTAACCACTGCCTTGCCTTTGATGTTTCTCATCCTCATAACATGATGACTTTTACTTCATATGTCTGTGAACAACATGCAGTGGTGTTTGCTGGTTTTTCAGCTTCATCCAAACTGTCTCATTCTATCACTATCCTGCTACCAATTGCTCTTTTTCCTCTTTGTCCTTATGTTCCTACATGACCTTCTGAGTTGTTTATTTTCACTGCTGTGCAGTATTCCACTTAAATATGTCAAATATATTCATGATTCTCCTGTGCATGGACAGGAAAGTTATTTCCAACTTTTCAATATTATAAATAAGACTGCTGTGAGCACTCTTGCATGGGTCCTATGCAAATGTGCAAGAGTTTCTTCAGGTCTCATATGCAGATATAGAACCAGAAGAGTGAGGGTATATATATATATCTTCACTCCTGATAGATGTGACCAAAGACTTTCCAAGGTGTTTAGGTCAGCTTCAATTGCCCCAGCAGCATCTGAGCTGTCCCCCACCTCCATATTCACTCTGAAATGTGTATGGTCCAACTTTTATTTTTTGAGTTTCACCAGTCCAAAACAACATAGAATCTCCTTATTGTTTGAATTAGTGTTTTCCTGATTACTGAGGTTAAGACATTTTATTCATGTAGAAGTCCAAAGTGTAAAGCTAAACTAGGTGGAGTTGTTCTCTTTGGAGGTGGGGTAATGGCTCATATTTAAGACAGCTAAGCTGTTGCTTTTACTATTTTAGTACCTGTGGATACTTGTGTTTCTAAATATTGAGCATAATCTTAAGCAAACGAGTATGCATTAAATGTTTTGTAGCCTATTTTGGTTGGTATTTTGACTGACTTTTTCTTAATTGACTGCGGTTTTGGCATTACCTGTGACACATCCTTCCCATCCCTTTACATAAATTAGTTGGGAGTTGGCTTTAATAGCAGGTATGAAAGTCCATCCAAGAAGCTGAGGGGGAGAAGACATCTGAGTCCTGAAGGCAAGGATTCTTGAGTTTACCAGGCATGCTTCTGATTTAGCACCTTTGCTCTGACTGTCGCCCTTGCCTGGAATCCTCCTCACCCACAAAAGCATGTGACTCCTTCCCTCCCCACCATCAGATTGTCATCGGATCTCGCCTTCTCAGTGAGGACTTACTTCCCTGACTTTTCAGTGTATAGCATGTTCCAAACCATCAGACACTCCTGTATCCCTCATGGTTCCACCCTGTATTTCCTGCTTGCTGGATAACTTTCTTTGTGAGTTACTTAATTATTATTTGCTTTGACTGTTATTCTTTCTTTGTTTTTCACCTACCACCTGTAGAATGTAGCTTCAGCAAGGGCAGTCATTTTGATCTGTATTGTTCACTGCTGTCTTCCTGGTACGCAGAAAGGTGTCTGGCACATCGTAGGCACTTCATATAGATTTATGGAGTAATGGGATGGAGTGAGCAAGGAAGAGAGAGCAGAGAAGAGCATTTCTGAGAGACAGTGCATGTGCTGGGATCTGAAGATGACTAGCAATGAGAGGGAGAGCTGCAGTCTAAGTGTGACTGTGATCGTGAATGGCTGCCCACCCAGGCTCCGGGCGCTGGAAGCAGATACAAGAGACCTAAGTAGAAGCCACAATCAGCAGTTTGGACTTGATCTTCAAGGCAGTTGGGATCCTTTACATGACTTTTATCCAGGGAATAACACAATCCTATTTGCATTTTAGAAGAACATGACTCTGATACCAATGAGGAGAAATCATAGATGGGGATACGGATCAGATTGGAGGTGGGAGGACCATCTAGGGGGAGTCACAGTGATCTTGGTGAGGGAAGATGATGCCTCATCAGGTAGCAGCAGGGAGCTGAAGAGACGTGGACAGTCTCAGAAGATACATCTCTACTGTCCTCTCCTCTGATTCCCGAAATCAGTGGAATCTGAGTAAGTCTATGCATCTGCACCTAACTAAGCCAGGAAGCCATGCTTCTACTCAGCATGCTCTTAAGTAATCAAACTGGAAAGTCTTCCGAAGTGTTCCACCCACATCTTCAACTTTCCTCTTGGTGAAAGAAATCTGGAGCACGGCCGCCTTTATTTGAGCGAGCAGTGAATAATGGAGCAGCACGCTGATTGAACTCGAAGTTTTTGGAAGGAAGGTAGCATTCCACATCCAAGCTCCCCTGGCCTCCAGATCTCTTGTGCAAGTAAATTAGTTTCATTTGTCTCAGGGCACCTTTTTCCAGGCCAACATCTTCCAGCTTGCCTGCAAATGTTTCTCAGTGGTGTGTTTGAGGCTTGGCTGTGTCTCCTTGTCTGGAACAAATTTTTTATTACGAGGAAATAGCTGGAAGATGATTCTGGACTCTTGGACCCTGTTCCCCTCTCAGCTGTTGACTGGGTATTTGATACCTTGGTAATTTTCAGCTTAACCTGTCCTCTCTCCTGCCTGCTTCTCATTACTAAGCATTTCACGCTGGAAGCTGAATTTCATACCTACCAGCTCAGCAGTCTTGAGCGAGACGGTTAAGATTAACACCTGTTTCTGTAAGACTCTCCCAAGATGTCATGGAATCACCATGTGTTGTTTTCTTTGCTCACCTCCTGGGTTTGCATGATTTTCCTTTGGTCCGGTGGTCATGCCTTCCACTTCAGCCTAAAACCCTCCAGATGATAGGAGTATCATGTTGCTCGTTTCACATGGGAAAGCCACTGTCCACCCTCGTCTTGTTCAAATTGCATTCAAATCTAATTTCCATGGCCCATGTGAGTGGGAGCGCCACAGCCCTGTGTCAGCTGTCAGAGTTTAGCAATACCATTTCCAAACATGGGCCAGTAGGCAGCCAGCAGGCACTAGACAGCTGAATGCTGGCGGAAAAAGCCTCAGACACCTATAGCAGTCCAAACAGTGACTCATCCTGCTATTGCCAGGATAAATATGGGAATAAAGGGTATTTTTCTCTAAGCAGGAAGAATTGTCAAAATGCTTATCACTTTATAAAGTATAACAGATTGTGCCTGTTCGTGTTTTGAAATGTTCTAACCCTCCACTAGCTTTTATTTTTCTCTTATGAGTTTAATAATAGCTTTCACCTATTTTTCTTCTTTCTAGGAGGCCTGGAGAACTCAGGAGTTTCCAGGCTGTGCTGCCACCCGAGCTCTGGATCCACTTGGCGGTGGTGGCCTGTGGCAATCGGCTGGAGGAGACGCTTGTCATGCTCAAATCTGCCGTGCTCTTTAGCCACAGGAAGATGCAGTTTCACATCTTCACCGAAGAATCTCTGAAGCATGAGTTTGATAAGCAGGTGATTGTGCAGAAAATGTGGCACCGAGTGTATACAAGAGTGCACTGTGGACATGCATATCCTGTTTCCTAATGTATTTTACTGAAGACTCAGCTGTGTGCCCACGAACACTTGGCTCTGAGCCTTAAAGTCGTCCTCTATAACAGGGATAATTACACCCCCTTAGAGAGAGATTGGGAGGATTAAATGAGGATCAAATGAGATGATGCACTTGAAGCACTTGACCCAGGGCTCCACCCCTCCTGTTGTTACCGACATTGTTCTCAGTGGGAGTCACGTAGCTTATTTTTATCTGTATATATATATATTTTTTTTTTGAATGACAAATAATATGTGCTCATCAAAATAAATTCAAAGAGGATGTTATAAATGTAAAAGGTAGAAGTCCTTGCTACCCTTCTTCGCCACACAAGAAACTATCAGAGTCAACACTTTTGAGTAATTCTTCCACATTTTTTTCACATACAGGTGTGTGTATGTGTATTTATGTATCTGAGAGATTGAGTATGTATGTGTGTGTACATCTATATGTGTGTACTCTTCCTGTACTGAGGAACAAGTGACAGTTTCCTGCCAGTACAGAGGAGCTTTGGAAATGCCTCTTTTCTCTGGGCTTGTTGCGTGTGCGACTGTAAACCAAGCTTTGTTTTCCTGGCAAGACTTCTCTTGCAGTGAGTTCCTGAGTGCTGGCAGAGAGAGCAGCTGTTTTGTTTTGTATCTACCAACTTGTGTTACTGGGGCTACATCCTGCCATCCAGGTAGCCACACTGAAAGGCTAAAGCAGAATGTTGGGTAACTAAAGACTAACAACTGAAAGCTGGAGAATGTATTATGATTTCTAAAGAATAAAAAAATCACTTTGACAACCTCTCCTAGAGAAGCCAGGGAAGAAACCGTCTTGGGACTTGAAATTGATTTGCAAATACCTTGAGAAAGGTCTGCATCAGGGGAAGGGGCTAGCAAAAACATTGAAACACATGTAGGCAGCTTCTCTGAAGCTGTGGTATAAGAGGAATTATAATTAATCGTAATAATAGTAATCATAATTTCAAAAATAGAATAGCCTTTTTCAAGGGCTTATGATTTATGATTTACTGTTATTTAATCCTGATAACAATCCTTTGAAAAAGTTAATAACCATATCCATAGTTTACTAACTAATAAAATATACGTATTTTACTAACTGAGATCTTTGAGGCTTAAGGAGTCTCAGTGATTAACTCATCTGATGTCAATTCAAGGTTTCTGACCCAAATATCCATAAACCTAACTCAACTACTTCTCAAACTAGTAGACAGAAAACCCGAATTTCAAAACTCAGCTCCACTATTTACCGGCTGCCTGATCTCAGGCGAGCCTCGGGGGCTTTTTTTGGGCTTCACTTTCCCCCTCTGCAACTTGGGACCAGTGGGACTGATAAAAAGAGATGCTTATCTGTACCCAAGATAGGCTAGGTCAGGCTGCAGTAACAACTTCCGGAAAGCTCAGAGACTTTCCATACGCCTGCTACATGTCTCAGAGGGCCTCTCCACACGGCCCCCTCAGCCTGGGACCACAGTTGACAGAGACCGTTCTTGCACGCAGCTGGCACCTGCTGGAACATTTGACCTCTGCAGTTCTTGAGATGCCACTGAAGGAAAGATAGGGACTATCAGATCCCCACGGGGCCTTTCACCCGCTCCGCGTGACACTGGCGTTTCTGTTCCTATTTACCTGTCCAGCAGCAACCAGTCACAGACCCACCTGACTCCAAAGGGGCTGAGAAGTATGCTGTGTTCAGGAATGGGGCAAAAGTGGCTATGGGCCAGCACTAGTCGGGTCACGTACAGTATCCATTGAATAAGTATTTATTGAGTACCTACTACATGCTAGAAGTTGGGCCATGAGAATGGAACAGAACAGAATGCAGACTTAAATTTTAAAAAGAGAAAGAAGATGTATATATATATATATAATTATAGATGTGTAACAGGTTGTGTTTTCCGAAGGGCCCCCAGTGATCCTGCCTCCTACTATTCACACCTTTATGTATTTTCCTCCTGCACTGTCCCAGGGCTGGCCTGCGTGACCAGTAGCATAGGGAAGAAGTGATGCTATGTCACTTCTGAGATTAGATTTAAAAAGGCACTGCACCTTCCATCTTGGTTGCACTCTTTCTCTCTTGGAGGCCAGCTTTTATGTCAGAGCAGCCCTTGCAGAAGACCATGTATTGAGGCATGACGACTTCTTGCCGACATTCATGTCATGAACTTGGAGACAGGACTTCTAACCCCATCCATGCTTCAGATGACTCACCCTCAGGAGGGGTCCTCAGCCAGAACAACCCAGCTCACATGAGATAATGAATGTTTGTGGTTTTAAGCTACTAAGTTTTAGGGTAATTTGTTATAAGGCGAGAGCTAATACAGATTTATCTATATACATATTATGTGTGTACATGGATGCTTAGTAGCCCACCAGGCTCCTCTGTCCATGGAATTTTCCAGGCAAGAATATTGGAGTGGGTTGTCATTTCCTTTTCCAGGGATCTTCCCAACCCAGGGATTGGACCCGCTTCTCTTGCATGTCATGCACTGGCAGGCAGATTGTTTACCACCGTGCTACCTGGGAAACAAAGAGTCAGAAACAATTGAGCGGCTGAGCATGAGCACATAACATGTATGTGTATATAACAGAGTATGCCAAACGTCCTGCCATGTGACATCTGAGGCTGGGTCATAAAAAGGATACAGCTTCTGCCTGGTTATCTCTCAGGATGCCTGGCCCTGGAACCTAGTCACCATGCAGTGAGGAAGTCCAAATTCACCCACAGGAAGAAGCCCACCCAGAGAGAAGTCAGGTCCCCAGCTGGTAACTAACCTCCACCACCAGACATGTGAGAACAAGCCGTTAGATGATTGTAGCCCCCAGCCTCCAAGGTTGTAGTTGAGGCCCCAGACATTGTGGAGCAAAGTCAAGCCGTCCCTTCTGTGCCTTGTCTGATTTTTTGATCCTTGGAATCTATGGGCATAATAAATGGTTGTTTTATGCTACTGAGTTTTGGAGTAATTTGTTATGAGCCATAGTACCTGGGACGTTATAGATTAGGAGCTATTGCATGGGAAAATTTTGTAGCTACCTGTGCAGTTGTGTAATGTTTTGCGTTGTTAAGATAACTTTATCTCTTTGATGGCTCATTTCCTCAGGTCTTTGTTAGGCCAGTGAAGCTCAATTGCAAAGGAAATTATAATAGGGTGTTAAAAATCACAGCAGGGCATACGGCCCCTTTCTTTTCCATGCTGAGATTATGGTGCCAGTTTAGATGTAAAACATTGGCTCTTTCATAAGTCACAGAATGTTTCTCAGCCTCAATTTCTTTATTTGTATCAAGCAAAAATCTATCATAGACACACAGAAGGGACAAATGATTCTTGCTCTGCTTGTTGTGGAGTATAATTGTGAGGCTGTATCAGATTCTGTAGATTCCTTGGAATGTTTCTGTCTGGTGGGTACTGTATTAGCCCTGAAACTGTAGATCAGCAGCCTTTGGTTTCTGCTCAGCCATGTGGGATGCTGGTGTGGAGGGGCAGGTTATCTCATCCTTCCCAGGGTTGTCAGTTAGTTTCAACACTGAGGCATTGTGGGAATATCCAGAGTGTCTTTTGATAACTTTCTGGGAGGCTCAGGGACACATACCTCAGCGTCAGAACAAAACAAAATGCTAATTGCCATCATGATCCCTCTGGAAACTGCATTGTGGGCAAGTTCTGTTTTATTGAAGTAGACTTTTTTTTTTAAAGCTGTTTAAGAAGTAGAGTTTTTTTAAGCTGTAGATATTGGTATTTACCATCTACATTGTTGATATTTAATATTTGAAAGTTTCATTTATTTTTGTCATCTCCTAATATAAAAGTTGAAAGTGTCAACTGGTTGATTTCTTAACCTCTTCAGGCAGTTCACAATCAAATATACAGTTTAACTTTGCCCCAGACTCAGAACCAGAAAAAAGTAGGACACAGAAGTGGGGACAGCCACCAGCCCATTCTGGTGGGGTGCATAAGACATTTACATTCTGTAGTGGTAGATGTAGAACATCATGCAGTTGTCAAAACCCATAAAATTGGATGATACAAAGAATGAATCCACATGTAGACTATGGCTTTACTTGATAATGTATTGATACTAGGTCATCACTTGTAACAAATGTGCCACATTCATGCAAGATGTTTATGATGAGGAAACTGTGGCATGGGGAAGGGAAGGAGAGAGGATTTATGGGAACTCTGTGTACTTCCTGGTCAATTTTTCTGTATACATAAAGCTGCTCTGAAAAATAAAGTCTATTGATTAAAATAATTTTATTATAAGATTAATATAAGCAGACAAAGTAATATACACTCCCTATAAAAGTTTTAAAGAGTGCAGAAATATAAACATAGAAAATGACACCCCCACCTCTATGGGTACCCACTTTTAACAGTGCAGTGCATGTCTGTTCAGATTATTCTCTACGTGTAAAGTACATACATGTATTTTCCCCTGTGTGATAGAACCATATGATAAATTTCTTTTTGCACTTTGCTTTTTCTAAAACCTAACTATACATTGTAACTATTTTTTCATAATGGCGCATATGCATGTGTGCTAAGTCATTTCAGTTGTGTCCAACTCTTTGCGACCCCATGGACCGTATGTAGCCTGCCAGGCTACTCTCTCCATGGGATCTCCAGGCAAGAATACTGCAGTGGGTTGCCACAGCCTCCTCCAGGAAATCTTCCCAATCCAGGGATCAAACCCACGTCTCTTATGTCTCCTGCATTGCCAGGCGAGTTCTTTACCACTAGTACCACCTGTACTTTACCTTTACAATGGTCCACTGTGTAGTTCCATCATAATGCATTTTCCCATTTCCTTATGATTGACTATTTGTTCCCAAGGGGATTTTTTTGTTTTGTTTTTTATTTTTTACTAAATCTATGTTTTGGTAAAAGTCCTTGTACCTCTGTCTTGGGGTTTGTTATTACCACTTTCTAAATTGCCCTCTTGGAAGTTTTTTATAATTTACCCTTCCAGTGTTTAGGTGCAAGTTTCCCATCATCCTTGCCAACTCTGGATGCTGTTTTTTAAAATCTTAACAATGGTCTATTCAGTGAGCACAAGTTGTGGTGATAAAGTTCTTTCTATGCATGCTACCTGAATAATTTCTATGTTGCCACTCAGAAGTTTTAGGTGTTTTCCATATTTCTGGGGTCTAATCACCCTCCCCTTACCTGCTATCTTTTTCAGCTTCGACAGTGGCCTGACTCATATACAAAGAAGTTTGAGCACAGAATCTACCCCATCACATTTTCAGCTGGAAACCCTCAGGAATGGAAGAAATTATTCAAACCCTGTGCTGCCCAGAGACTCTTTCTTCCGGTAGGAACACCTGCTTTTAGTAAGACGCTGTTTAGGAGAGAATTGCATTTGGAAACATCATGGAATTAACTAGGGTTTGTTTAGAGACATTTTAATTACAGTGGTTACAGTGGAAAATATGTTCCTCTTAGATTCTGCAGTTGATGCTCTTAATGATCAGGGTGTTCAGAGAAGGTCCCTGTGGTTGAGAAATTGTGTTTCTCAAAGATTGAGGGACTGAGAGTATCCAGAGCATTCTTGACTATGAGTCTTTGTGACTGTGGATCCACATTTACTAGCTCTGTGGCCCTCACTAAATCTCTAAACTTCTCTAAGCTTCACTTTCCTCCATAAGCTTGGCACATAGTTGATGCTCGATAAATGTTATTTTAGATTATTATTATTTCTCTTAAAATAATAACTACTAAAAAAAATAAAAATAAATAATAATAACTACTGCTAGATGTTAACTATGTTGTTGTTGTTGCTTTAGTCACTAAGTCGTGTCTGACTCTTGCGTCCCCATGGACTATAGCTGCCATGCTCCTCTGTTCATGGGATTTTCCAGGCAAGAATACTGGAGTGGGTTGCCATTTCCTTCTCCAGAGTATCTTCCTGACTCAGGGATTGAACTCACATCTGTGACATTGACAGGCAAATTCTCTACCACTGAGCCACCAGGGAGACCCAGCTGCACTTTTCTAGGGAATGATTCAGAGAAGGTCCAGAGTTCCAGTTCACCTTTTCCATTTGGAGTGTTCAAATCGAATGTCTTTGTTTCCTTTTTAAAAAAATCCTAAATAGAGAAGCACCAAAGATATACCAAAACTGACAATATCACTGAACAAAATGGAAGCTTTGACTTGGGCATTGCAGCCTTGACATTTGTGAAGGTCATGCTTTCAGTAAACGTTTATTGAGTGCCCATTAGGTGCTAAGCTCTGGCTTAGTGATGGCGATATGGCAGTGAGCAAGACACCCATGGTCTTTTTTATTTTTTTTTAATTTTTATTAAAATTTATCAACGTATAGTTGATTTACAATGTTGTGTTACTTTCTGCTGTACAACAAAGTTAGTCTGTTATAACTAACATATACCCAGTCTTTTTAAGATTCTTTTCCCATACAGGTCATTATGGAGTATTCAGTAGAGTTCCCTGTGCTATATAACAAATCCTTAATAGTTATTTATTGGTCTTGCCCCCTCAGAGTTTGACTCTAGCATGGAAATGAACAAGAACTTGGAAATGTGATCCATGCTGAGATGGAGAACAGAGTCTCATGGATGTATGTAACACAGGGTTACACTTTGGTCTGGGAGATATCTAGAAGGTTCTCTTGAGGAATGGCTTTTATGCTGAAATATGAAAGAAGGAGTGGTAGCAGGGGGTGGTGCCTGGGTGACGAGGGTCTGAGAAGTAACGAGAGAAAAAGGTTCCAGGTAAATGGAATAGTAGGTACACAGGTCCTACTACAAAAGGAGGAAGGCACATGTTTGAGAAGATAGAAGATTCCAGTAACTGAAAATAGAGTGCAGTGGAGTAGAAGAGGTTGACTGGGTCTGGGGCTTGCAGACGCTATAAGCCGTGTTGAGATGTCTGGTCTTTGTGTTCAGGACAGTGAGATGCCATTAAACAATTCTTAGCTTGGAAGTGAGATGATCTGACTTGGGTATTGAAGAGGATTCAGGGATTTCCCTGGTGGTCCAGTGGCTAAGACACCATGCTCCGATGCAGGGGACTGAGTTCAGTCCCTGGTCAGGGAACTAGATTCCACATGCCACAACTAAGATCTGGCACAGCCAAATAAATAAATACATATTTAGAAGAAAAAAAAAAAGGATTCACTGGTTCATTACAGTACGGATAGTGGAATTGCTGAGACCAATTAATACTGACTTCAGCTATGGCGGTTGGTTGCCTTAGCGATGGATGCAGACCATGCCTCCATCCCTATGAGTAGCTGGCTACGAGAGGTAAAGTGGAGGTGAGCAAAATTTCACCAAGGTTTCTGATCTGAACAGCTTTTAAAGTTGGTCTGTTTGAAATTGCCAGGATTCAACTATTTATGACCTACAGAAGAGGCTGTGTCTTTTAGTTCATATGAGTGTGTGTGTATGCGTGTGTGTGTGTGTGTGTGTGTGAGCTCAGTTGTGTCCAACTCTTTGCAACTCCGTGGACTGAAGCCTGCCAGGCTCCTCTGTCCATGGAATTTTCTAGGTAAGAATACTGGAGCGAGTTGCCATTTCCTACTCCAGAGGATCTTCCCAACCCAGGGATGAAACACACATCTCTTGTATCTCCTGCATTGGCAGGCAGACTCTTCACCACTTCGTCACCTGGGAGTGTATAGTAGTGCTATTTAGAGATGGAAAAGGGGACTCGCCTGGAGATCCAGTGGTTAAGACTCTTTGCTTCCACCATAGAGGGCATGGGTTCAACCCCTGGTTGGGAAACTAAGATTCCATATGCCACATGGTGGGGCCAAAAAAAAAAAAACAAAAAATGTAAAAACAAAACTTAGACATGGAAAACGCTTTGAAGAAATACCATTATTTGTAAGGGAGAAGATGAGTTTAATTAGAGTCATATTTTGATTTTGAGGTACCTGGGAAACACCCCCACAAGGAGGCCTTACCATCTGTTGGTCTGAAACCCTAACTGGCAAATGGCACTTTTAGCGTTTCCTACTCAGATCCTGTGAAAAAGAAACAACCTGGATGTACTATTGGTGGCGATTTGCTACACAAGTTCACTGACTACTAAATGAGCTGTTTTTCACATGGTACAGCCTTTAGTACAGGTTGTGAGATGGGATTCACTGCATCAAACAAAGTGAGAAGTGGCTCAGATGGTAAAGAATCCACCCACAGTGTAGGAGACGCAGATTCGATCCCTGGGTGTGGAAGATCCCCTGGAGAAAGGAATGGCAACCCATTCTAGTATTCTTGCCTGGAGAATCCCATGGACAGAGGAGCCTGAAGGACCCCTGGTTATAGTCCAGAAGTCTCAAAAAGTCAGAGACAGCTGAGCGATTAATATTTTCACTTCACTTTCAAGAAGCAACAACCCTAAATCAGAACTAAAATCTCTGGGTTGGTGTTATGAAAACTATTTGAGAAGACAAGAAAAAAAATCTCAGGCTTCTGCTTAACTGTTTTAGGGGGAAAATATTAGAAATCCCAAGTTATTATTGGAAAATTGTCTCCCCAACCTACCAAAAAAATAGTAACAACCCAGTAGAAGACATTTTAATTTTCCCTGACCTTGAATTGTGACTTTACTGCCACTACTAAAAAAACAAACCTACCACTTGATGGTTTTCATTCATCCCCTGCTGAACAAGTCTATTCCATTTTGAATGACAAATGAGTGCTGGTATTCCTTATCTGCTTTTGATAATGGAAACTAGCAGTTCTTAAAAATAATAAAGAGAGATTGTGGTTGGCAGGACATTTACTTTCCCTGACTTGTATATCATAACAGAAGATTATAAACATGGAGTTTCTGGACATCAGTGAAATATATTGATCCTCTTGGTAATTTGAAATAAAGTCTAGGTGATGTTTTCCTTGAAATTTGTCTCTAAAAAAAAAAAAAAACAAAAGACAAAAATTAAAAAAAAAAAAAGAAATTTGTCTCTCTAAAACCAAATCAGGGGTGCTGTTCAGTCAGTGCAGAGGAGATGGAAATCCTAAAATGCAAACATTCTGGCCCTGGTCAGTCAAATGACTACGAATCACAGTCTTACCTCTTTTCTGAGGGGGTGTCATCTGTAGATGAAACCTTTTCTCAGGTAAGTGAAAGTGAAAGTCGCTCAGTCATGTCCGACTCTTTGCAACCCCATGGACTATACAGTCCATGGAATTCTCCAGGCAAGAATACTGGAGTGGGTAGCTTTTCCCTTTTCCAGGGGATCATCCCAACCCAGGGATCGAACCCAGGTCTCTCACATTGCAGGAGGATTCTTTACCAGCTGAGCCACAAGGGAAGCCCAAGAATACTGGAGTGGGTAGCCTATCCCTTCTCCAGTGGATCGTTCCAATCCAGGAATTGAACTGGGGTCTCCTGCATTACAGGCAGATTCTTTACCAACTGAGCTATCAGGGAAGCCCTTTTCTCAGGTAAGATTTTACTAATCAGAGCATGAACCTTTGCAAGTCATCCTATTACATTCTCAAATACAATTAGTGGAATTCACATCCCACCAATTCAAGATTTATGAAGTCCTAAATCAATCAGTTTAGGACATCCTGGAATGTTAAGTCAGGTGGGCCTTAGGAAGCATCACTACAAACAAAGCTAGTGGAGGTGATGGAATTCCAGTTGAGCTATTTCAAATCCTAAAAGATGATGCTGTGAAAGTGCTGCACTCAATATGTCAGCAAATTTGGAAAACTCAGCAGTGGTCACAGGACTGGAAAAGGTCCATTTTCATTCCAATCCCAAAGAAAGGCAATGCCAAAGAAGGCTCAAACTACCACACAATTGCACTCATCTCACATGCTAGTAAAGTAATGCTCAAAATTCTCCAAGCCAGCTATCCAAAAGTCTACAAGCAATAAATGCTGGAGAGGGTGTGGAGAAAAGGGAACCCTCTTACACTGTTGGTGGGAATGCAAATTAGTACAGCCACTATGGAAAACAGTGTGGAGATTTCTTAAAAAGCTGGAAATAGAACTGCCATATGACCCAGCAATCCCACTTCTGGGCATACACACCGAGGAAACCAGATCTGAAAGAGACACGTGCACCCCAATGTTCATCGCAGCACTGTTTATAATAGCCAGGACATGGAAGCAACCTAGATGCCCATCAGCAGACGAATGGATGAGGAAGCTGTGGTACATATACACCATGGAATATTACTCAGCCATTAAAAAGAATTCATTTGAATCAGTTCTAATGAGATGGATGAAACTGGAGCCCATTATACAGAGCGAAGTAAGCCAGAAAGATAAAGACCATTACAGTATACTAACACATATATATGGAATTTAGAAAGATGGTAACGATAAGCCT